GACGAAATCGGGCACATGTCACGTACGCGGATTCTACTAGCCTAAGCTCCGCATAGTGAGCGTACAGTCACCGCAGTACCACCGCGGTATCGGTACGAAAATCACCGTACGGAACTTCAAAATCATGGAGTTGTATCGCGATGACTCCATGTTGGTACCACGGTGCCAGTACAGTGGGACCGTACTGGCACTCTGCTAGCTGTACATAAAAAATTAGGGTTCCGCACAGCGAGCTGAGAGAATGCAAGCAACCATGGTTTCCAAGCCCTGAAATCGTTCTCAATGGATCCAAAAATGGCTGCGCCATTGGTCCCTCGTCCATCCATGCGGGTCTTGCAAAAGTTGCAACTAGCAGACATTCTCTCTTGCATTGAAGATTTTTTCTGAGCTTGAGAAAATCGTTTTACATGCTTCGTAAACGATATTAATCTAGGAGCCATTTAAGAAGTTTGCCCCTGTCCCTTATTTTGTGCTAAGAGTTGCAAGGAGGTCACTCCTTAAATGCTTAGTGGATAAATTGAGCTCAAACCAGCTGTGCAGGCGCTGTGTTCAGCTCAGCGGAAGCTCAGCTCATTCAATAGGTACCTAGGTTCCGAGGCTTCTGCAAGCTACGGCCGAGTCCCCGGATCGTGGAGCATCCACATGAGGCGTAGATTCGCAAACCCGAAAGAAAATGGACGGTTGTGAGGCTTCTCGGCGAGGCTCAGATTCCGTTGATCACAATTTGAAAATGTACTGTCGTGCACTCGGAGAGGCAAGTACCGTAGATCTGCAATGTGCGTGTTGTACAAGCAGTTGTACCCGGTGCCCTTTTTTGCCGGTATCTAAACCACCCATGTGAGGTACAGCCCATGTTGCAGGACCGGTACCCAAGTACCAAGCTACGTAAGTGTCACCGGACCGGGGTACCTTCCGTACTTTCTAAAAGTTCCGAAGGTTGGGCTAAGGTAGGTACCATCGCGGACTCGTACAGCCCGCTGGTACAATGTTCAGATACCGGGCGCGTTTTAGCAGTGAGCTCAAGGATGTAGGGACGCTCGGATAGATGGCAAGCAGCCTCCGGGGAGCCGTTTGCAAAGAGCCACATATCTTCCAAAGAAGCCCCGGTTTCTACGGAATTGCACGTCAGAATCACGCAGCAACTGAGTACCCTTGCAGGTTCTTCCTGCTGGTATCGCGGAGCCCAAATTCGTTTTGTACCGTATCAACAAGCTAAATTTATTCGACTGCGCGTACCGTTCGTGGTGCTACCTTGTACGTACCACGGTCGCACTAAGGTACCGACGAGGTACCACCGCGGTGCCTCCGCGCTTTTCTGTGCTTACCTCCGCAGTCTAAAATCCCGATACATGAAATGTGGGTGAGCCCGTGACCATGTACGTGGCTAGGGCAAAGGATTTGTTTGGGAACTTGACAGCTACCGGTTTCGAGCTGCAGCCGGATGAGCTGGCTCGGAGCGTGCTGGCGGGATTGCCGACTCGTTTAGTACCCTGAGAACAATCCTAATGGCTTCGGAGGGCAGCATGAGCTTGGTGGATGCGATTCTACCACGGGACAGTTACGGTGGTTTTTAGCGCCGGGGAAATTGCCGCTGACCGATTTAATTCGGGCGCGCGCCGTAGCATATTGCCACGGTATCGCAAATTTCGGCAGGCGTAATTCCGGGAATTTGTAGGAACTCTGCGGGTACTTCGTACGAAGTTCCTACGGAAAAATCATGATATGCCCCCAAAAAATGCTGATTTCATGCATTTTTGCCCTGAAAAAGGCCTTAACAAATGGCTATAGAACAACAAATTTAAGAGACATGTATGTGGGAAACTTCTACAATAGGTCCATGTTGATGTTGAGAACACATGCTGAAATTTGTAAAGCATTCTCTTAAGCTTTTGTAAGGAAGCTGGAGCCATTCTTCCTCATAGTAGCTTTGGTGGTGATCCACCATTCTTCTTGAATTTCTTAGGAAGTTGGTCATTTGACACTCATGGTTCCATCACGTTAATGAAACTCGAAGGTGGGGGCATTTTCTTGTGTGCTAGAAGGGGGGGTCCCAGAAGGTAACTGAGAAAAGAGCCTGTACGTACCGTGGGTACCTAAGATCTGCCCCGGGACCTTTCCTTAAGTCAGTTATCTATATGACAGGCCGCCCGGTGATTCGCAACGGTACGCAAATTTTCAAATACAGCTAGCGTACCATCGACCCGGTACTCACGAGAATAGGTAGGTAGGTAGCTACCGGCCGCGGTGTTTCTAGCATACGGTACCTACCTAGCTAGTAGTCAGCTGGGTGCTGCCCGGTCATCTAGCGGCCGAGCAGCACGGTAGGCCCACTGCCCTGCGCTGGTGACTCACTGTAGTCTGGAAAGGCTGCCCCGGTCGGCGGTGACTACTCGGCCCTAAAAACATGTACGAAACTGGTACATTTAGTAGTAGTGATGTAAGGATAAGTACCTGGTAGGTACCTACCGTACCTGGCTACCTACGGCAGGAACTACGGTACCCACTAGGTACTACCTAGCTAGCTACCTAGCCTTGTCTTTACACAGGTCACGCCGGTATCGGTACTAGGTACCGTAGCTTACTGGGCAGTGTTATTCGGCTGATTTGGCACGAGCACTCATCGAAACCTGCAATGTTTGTCTATCTTCGGTAACACTACGGGTATACTTGCCTACAGGTTACAAGGCCGAAAGCAGGTGGTTTTCGGTACGAAACCACTTCCCCTGAGATTGCAAATGTGGGAACCGGAGCGAAACCGGCCGAAATCTGCCCCATTTTCGCGGCAATTTTGCGCGCCGCACTGAAAGTTCCGGCGCAGTACAGGCGGGACCACGGCGCACGGGCAATTTAAAATTCGTGCGGTTTGTCCGCATTATGCGCGGAACCTGCCGCGACTTTTCACCGGGCAGAAAAGCACCATAACTGCCCCGTGACCGAAGCTCTTGGTGCATGAGCAAGGATTCCAGCTGCCCAAGGATGAGGGCGGTGGTGGGTCGGACTCCGCTGTGGCTTATGTAGCTCAGCGGAAAGGGAGCAAGGAGAAAAGTCGGGGCAAGGATGAGAGCCGGGAAAAGGGGCCTAAGTGCTCCAACTTTGATGAGTTTGGTCACATTGCCCGGAAGTGCAGCAAACCGGATAGGCGGGAGCATAAGCCGGAGCAAAAGAGGGGCGGGAAACCTTCCAAAGGAGTGGCCTTTAGCGTGGTTGAGGGGGCAGCTGCGGACGCGTGGCTCGTTGATTCGGGTAGCTCCCAGCACCTAAGAGGGGACAAGAGCCCATTTGAGACCCTCGAGATGTTTGGGGGGAGTGCCCGAGAATTCACGTTTGAGGACAAAGGAACTTATGTCGGACGCATGTGTCAGAAGTGGCGGCAAATATGATTCCGGTGAGCAAGGCGACCGAAGTCGCCTTGGTGCTATTCAAGGGAAACGGCAATAGTGCGAGCTTGAGATTGATGGAGGAGGGAGTCCATGTTGCTCGGAGAGTGAAAGGGATCTACGTGGTCAACCGAGCGGACAGGGCACGTGCTTCTTTGTGAAAAACTCGGAAACCGCGGAGTTGTGGCACCGACGGTTGGGACACGCTACGAAAACTTTGCGAAGATGGTGCAGGGCGACCTCGTGGACTGGGTCGGGGTGAAACCGAATGCGTTGAGGGCGCTTAAGTTATTGGTGTGTGAGCCCTAGGCTGAATGGAAAAGCCTAAGTTGACTCTCTTTCCAAGAATAGACTCAGTGAGCACGGAGCCTCTTGAGCTAAACCACATGGACGTCTGCGGGCCAATGCCGGTAGCCTCGATAGGGGGAAGCCAGTATTTCAGTGCCACAAGTTCCTCGACGTCCCAAGCAACCTCTTAATTGTATTCCCCATAAATCATAGGAGCGAGGTGGCCAAGGTAACAGAGCGGATACTAAACCGGTTGTATCGAGTTGCAATTGGCAAAAGGCTCAAGTCGGTGCGAACGGACTTGATTGACGGCCAGATTGTTGAATAAGGCTCGATAGATTTGAGCCGTAGAATTGTGAAATGTTGTCGTGTAATATCGACCGTAGACTTAGAGGTTTTTTTCGTTGAGTATCGACCGTCAGATTGCGTGTTGACTCGGATTGTGGATGGTTAGATGTGACTCGACTCGAGTAGTATACTACACCCGACCACTAGCCGGTTGATGAAAAGGAGGTCATATAGGTGAACCGACGAATGGGTGGTTGAGGTAGACCCGATCTAGGCTAGAGTACACCTAGCTACGGGATTGGAAAAGGACTTAAGACAATTGTCATGTGATGGACATTCGTTCCAAGAGATGCTTGAAGGGAGCCAGGCGATTCTTTGTGAAGGCGCTTATCTATGAGGGTGGTTAAACCCTAGCTTGTAACAAGCATGTGTGAATGATTTCAACGGGTATGGGCCCACACGACGCTGCCCTAGGTAAGGATGAAGCGGTCATTGTGAGGATGGAAAAAGAGCGAGCTAGGGTGCGGTTAGAAGACCGTTACCGTGAACAAGATGGCGGGGTTGGATAAGCTCACGGCGCGCATCCCGGTTTTGAGAAGGGACATTTGGTCAATATGGAAGGAGAAGTTCAAAGCCCTTACGTGGCAATAGAGAGTCCGGATTCCGCGGAAGGCCGGAAAGTGTCGGATCAAGCTAGGTCCTTGATGGTTATGCACACGGAGGATGCATATATGAAGTTGTTTGCCGGAGCGGACACGGCGGTGAAAGCTTGGAGGAAAATCCATGAGAATTTTGAGAAGACGAGCAACGCATGTCTGGTTCAACTTAGGAAGAACTTGACAAACTTGACGTTGATGAAGGAAAGAGCGTCGCAGAGTACGTTGGTGAGTTCCGTGAGATCAACATGGATTTGGAGACGGCGAGTCAAACTGTTTCCATGGTAGAGTTGGCGGTCCATGCGGTTAATGGGTTGCCAAAAGAGTCTGCAACTTTAGTAAAGTATCTAGAGTTGAGTGACACGCAGTTGATGTTGGATACGCTCAGCCAATGCTCATGCAAAAAGAGCAAAAGTTGAATCTTGAGCTTGGAAGTGGGTTGGAAGCTCTAGAGGAGAACGAGGATGAAAGTGCAGGAAAGGCGTTTGTTGCTAAGCGGGAAAGGTATGGGGTAATCGTTGCCAAGGGGTCAAGCAAGCGGGGAGTCACCGAAGGGGGAAGGAGGGACGCCCTAAACACGAAAAATTGCTACGCTTGCGGTGAGAAGAGCACATCCGGGCCTATTGCCGGAAGTGGAACGCGAAGTGCTTCACTTGTGGTGAGACGGGGCACATTAGCTTGATGTGTAGGAAGCCTTGAAGTGGTGCGAGGAGCGGCGGTGAGGACCGGCCGGACCGGAAGGAGTTTGCCAGTGTGGCGTTTAAGGCGTGGCGCAAAGAGGCGCGGGCGCCGGCGGGTGTCTGGCTCGTTGACTCGGGAAACACCCAACACATCACGGCGGAGGAGAGCCAATTCGTAAGCTATGAGAGGCTTGCGTGTACACAGAGCATAGAGGGGCTTGGGGGAGAAGCCTTGACGGCGCTGGGGATCGAGAAAGTCGTCTGGGAGTGTAAAACGCCGAACGGTGCACGCACGGTAAACCTTGGACGAGTTTTGGCACGTTCCGGGAGCGAGGGCGAACGTGGTTGCTATGCGGAGAGCAACGGACGCGGGTGCAAGGGCATCGCTCGCTTTGAGACGGAAGGCGTGGTGAGAATGGAGGCGGTGCAACACGGCAGGTTGTGGGAGATTGCAACGGTGAAAAAGGCGAGAGCTTTCTTGGCGGTTAAGGCGCCGGCCGAGATGGGGCGCCGGATCAGAGAGGCGGCAAGGAAGCCGCAAGTGGTAGTGGGAAAGAAGCGAGTGGAGGTGAAGCCGGTCAACTACATTGAGATGGACGAGGTCCATCCGGTGAACACGGAGACGGAGCCCAAGGATCACGGCGCAATGGAAGCCGTGGGAGCCTCCGCGAAAGACATGGAGCCGCTGCAGCGGAAGGTGTGTGTTGAAACACAGCGTTGTTGGAAGCGATATGCAATCAATCAAGCACAGAATGTATATGGAGTGTTTTGAGTCACGGCCTATCTTTAGGTCTACCCTCTAGCCTAGTAGTAGGCTCAGTGGACCGTCACCTAGTAAGTCCGAAACTTTCACTATACATCGTACATCGACAGCTATATCGAACCTACACAATTTTGCGGTTCTTGCCAAGTCATTCGGGTGTAACGCTGTAATTTCTAGTTAGCGTCGAATTACCGTCGACGTTGTGATCCTAAAACCCTAGAATTATCCAGAGATTCGGTCCTTAAATGCCCGTATCTCAACACTCCCCCACACACTAATGACCAGGCGATGCCTATCTCCCTCTTGCACTTCTTGAACTTCCCCGGTGCTAGCGCGTTGGTTATGATGTCCGCCTTCATGTTTCTGTCCTGCAGTACGCGAACGCGACCTTCTTGCGTGCCACGCGCTCCCGTGCAAAGTGGTGAATCACGTCAATGTGCTTCGACCGCTGCAAAGCGATTGGGTGCTTCAGGAGCCGAATTGCCCCTTGATTGTCGCAGTAGATCTGGACCGTTCCGAGGTCCAACTCGAGATCTCCCCCGAGCTTGCGGAACCACAGCGCCTCCTTCACCGCTTGCGCTGCGCTCATGTACTCCGCTTCCACTGTCAAGACCGCCACTGTTGGCTGCAGCCTGCTCGACCAGCTCCGTACATCTGGGAGACGTACCCCGTTGTGGACCGCTTCGTGTCCACGTCTCCCGCGTAATCCGCGTCACAGTAACCAACGAGAGTCTCCTCGCTCCTCTTGAAGGCCACCCCGTCCTCTGCCGTCCCCGCCAGGTAAGGCACAACGCCAAGCGCCGCCCGTCGGTGCGCCTCCGTTGGCCCCGCCACAGTGTAGCGCGCAAGCGCGCCCATCGCCTGTGCGATGTCGGGCCTCGCGCACACACTCAGGTACAGCAAGCTTCCCACACATTCGCTGTATGGAAACCGCTTCGTGTCCAGAGGCTCCCCCTCCTTCGTTAACTTGTCCCCCGGTTCCAAGACGAACGCTACGCGCCCGCGCGTTCGCCAGTCCGTCTCGTCCGACCAGCTCCCCCGTCGGCTTCTTCTGCGTCAGCTTCAGGGTGCGCGCCTCCCTGTCGCGCGTCTGCTGTATCCCGAGGAAGTACGTCGCCTCTCCCAGTTTGCGCACGTCGAACCTCTCCGCCAAGTGCGCCTTCACCTTTCCAATCCGCTCCGCTCCATGGGGCGCCACGAGGATGTCGTCCACCCTCACCACGAGGTAGACCCGCTCCCCGTCTACAATCCCCGTGAAAAGCGCTGCGTCTGCGATGGACGCCACGAACTCGAGGTTCCTGAGCTCCTCCTTCAGTCGCATGTGCCACGCACGCGGCGGCTGACGCAATCCATACAAGGTGCGCTTGA